AGAGAGAGAGAGAGAGAGAGAATGTGTGTGTCCCTTTTCTTTGGGATCCATCAACTCCCAAGAGTCCACTCCTCATCTCTGGCCAAGACTCCCAGTGTACATTTCCAGACCTCGCTGGTCTCCTGAGCCTCTGACCCACCCTGTGCCCCATCAGCTGATATTCTGCCACATAAAGTACAGGATGCCGGGTCGAATTTGAATTCCACGTAGACGATCCATATTTTTTTTAGTATAAGTATGTCCCAAATATTGCATGAGACAGACTTACACCAAAAAAGTATGTGTTGTTTATGTGAAACTCAAAGCTAACAAGGCATCCTGTATTTTTTGGGGTAAATCAGGCAACCCCATCTCCCTGACTCGGAGCTAGTAACATCCCCCTGCAGAGCCACTGCCTCCTGCCTCCACTTCCTCCCAGTTCCCTTCATGTCACTGGCACCACTGCCTTCCTAGTTCCCCACTATTGCATGGGGTATAACCCACCAGCTCCTGCCCATTGTTTTAGAAACACCCCACCCTCTGCAGCCACTGCTATCCCTGGCACCATGCCTAGACAACCACTGTACTAGCCCGCTAACTGGTTCTGTCTGCATCTAGTCCATACCAGATGGTTAGTCCTAAAACACTCCTTTGAACAAGCCACACTCTGGCTCTGCAGCCTTCAATGGCTCCCCATTGCCCACAGAAGAAAGTCCAAAATGCAAGGCTTACAGCAGTCTGTTACCACGGAGCCTCTGGCAGCTAACCACATACTGCCCTTCTTTACGTTCTCTTACTCTATTCATTGGATCTTAAATCTTGTGTTATGTTGGCTGTTTATTTTCTCAACTAGATTAGAAGCTCCCTGGGGGCAGGAAAAAGATCATACAGAGCTTTTGGATCAGTCCCAGGCCGGAGTGAGTATTTGCTGGCTGTGCTTCCGTTCTGAATTCCCTAACTACTGCCAGAGCGGGTGGGCAGGCACTCTCTGGGCATGTGGCAGGGGGCAGACGATGGCTCTGGGGGCCCCAGAGTGAGTGCAGGAGGCGAGGCTGGCAGGAGGCTGACCTGGCTCACAGTGAGGACAGCATGTTCCTGGCTCCGGGCAGGGTCCTCTTGGGCATGGCTTCTGGGTACACTTTATGGTTCCTTCCTGTGGGGAAGCAGACTAGTGGCTGCCCAGCCATCAGAACCCCGAGGACCTGGCCTCCAGAACTGAAACCTCACCCCAGGCTGTGACACACCAGAGGAGCAAGAAGTTGAGGCAGCTCAGGGTACATGGGCTACCTTCGGTCTGAGGGCAGGAAAGAGACACCCTACCCCCACTCCCATCATCTCCTACTGCTCTTGGCCCCCAGAAAGCATCTCTTCCAGGTGCCAGCAAGTTCCCAGAGTGGAGAGATCCTAGGAAGGGAACTGAAAACTTCCTCAACGGAGGAGCGAGGAAGGAAAGGCTGGAAGAATGTGGATGTGGAGCCGAGTGAGGGGGAATAGGCAGGTAGATGACAGGGACAGGTGGATGGGCAGGGACAGTGAGGGTCCACAGGAGAGGGGGCATGTAGGAAGACAGGCAACTCCATCCTCTCTGCCCTCCATGCCACTGTTTGCCAGGCCCAAATCAGAGAGGTTTGGGGGCTCCCGCCATGTGCGTGTGGTGGGGGGGGGTTAAGCCCCAGAAAATATAGCCACTTGGAATCAGCCGGAGCCACTGGCGGCCAAAACTTTGGGGGAGGGGCAGGCAGACCCCATTACATGACATTGAGCACACCGGGCCGCAGCGGCTGGTAGCTTAAGTGAAGCAGGTGAGGGGGCCAAGTATGGGATATCCAGGTGGGTCGCGGGAACTCACCAAGCAGTGACAGGTGGTGCAAGCGTCCGGGGAGAAGGTCTCCCCGCTGCCATAGGTCTGACCATTGTGGCTGCAGCCTGGGGAGAAGATAGTGCTGTCACTCAGGCACTCGCGGCCATCTCTAGGTGCCGAGGTGGTCCTGGCAGGCAGACAGGGTGGCACTCACCGTGGCAGTGGGGCAGGTCGGGCTTGGGGTCACAGTGCACGGTCCCATCCTGGCAGACACAGGCGGTGCAGGTGTCAGGCTCCCAACGAGCACCCTCGGGCCAGGCCCGCCCCAGCCCCCAGCACTGGGGAGACGCTGGGCGGCATTCACAGGACTCCAGCTGCCTCACCCTCGCCTGCAGCTCTTTGTTCTGGGGAAAGAGGGAGAGGGGAAAGTGGGGGGCACTGGCTCAGCTCCCCGCTACCCAACACATCCCGCAGATTTGTAGGGTGTGAAGACCGAGCAGGACGAGAAGGAAATCTGACAGTTCCAGGGGAGAGATGGGTGCCCTCCACACAGCGTCCAGTTTAGACACAGTTCTCAGGACCTAGAGTCTGGACGGACTCCCAGAGGGACATGGCGCGCCCAGACCTCTCCTTTGGAAAGAAGGGGACCCGATCCCCTCTCTCTAACAGTTTAAGTCCTTTACCCATCCAAAATCTTTCCTGATGATGCCTTATGTATCGTAGGTCCTCCATAATATTTGTCAAACACATGAAAGAATACGAAAGTCTAGATGGAAAAAACAAATACTCCGGAGGCTCTTCGTTTATATGAAAGAATCGATGTGAAGAGCTGTTCATATAAGAATTTCTCCATGTGCGTTTAAAATAAAACTCGGGGTGCCTGGATGGCTCAGTCGGTTAAGTGTTAGACTCTTGATTTTGGCTTAGGTCAGGATCCCAGGGTCGTGGGATCAAGCCTCGAGTCAGACTCCACACCGAGCATGGAGCCTGCTTAAGATTCTCTCTCACTCCCTCTGCCCCTGTCCCCCACTCATGCTCTTCCTCTAAAATTAAAAAAAAAATAAAAATAAAAATAAATAAATAAATAAATAATAAAAGCAAAAAGCTGGCATTAAAAAACTAATAAAATAAAACTCTGTTTTAGAGTT